ATGTATGTATGTATGTATGTATGTATGTATGTATGTATGTATGTATGGATGTATGGATGGATGGATGGATGGATGGATGGATAATTCCATGTGTAAATACACCAACATTAGAGCCCACGCCTCAGCAGAGAAGTTTGTGGTCAGTGGTCGAGGTTGTGAGAGGAAACCTTCCTGAAGTCACTCATGTCCAGAGCTTCAGAGCTGGATTGTCCATTCATGAGACTCAAATCTCAGCTTGTCTTGGATCACGTCATCTCAGGGAGAAAAGAGAGAAACAAAAAGATTCAACACATCAGAAAGCTTTAGTGAGAGTGTAAGACACATGTGTTCAGAGTTGAAAACCTAATGAAAAGTTTGTTATTTTTCCAAGTTGAATTATTTCTGGAGATAATAATTTGTTAGTGTGTTGAAGAATAGGACAAACAACATGATCTATATGTTATATATTCTTATTACATGGCACATTTTGATTGGCTGACACATTTGTAATATGAAGGCATCAGTAAGTCAAAAGTCTTGCACCTGAGAGAAACAGTCCTATGACTGTCACTTTGATTTTGTTTAGAATGTGCTTGTTTTGTTTCCCATTTAAGTTCAGTAAAGTCACAAAATGAAATTACTGGATTCTGTAGAAACGTGTCGTGACAAAAAAAACCCTTTCTGTTAAGCTAGTGAGGGCTGGCGGCGCTCAGAGGGTCTTTCTACCGGAGACGTCTCAAAACAAAACCAAAGTCCCTGAATTTCACGTACGTGTCCACATTCATTCTTTATCAGATAAAATGTGTGTTTCTCCTCTAAACAAATATCTTAACACACACTCTGAACGATTTCTAAATCTTGGTAACTTCACCTACAAAAAAAATGGTAAAAATAAACTGGTTACTGAGTCAAAGGAATGTCAGTGGTGCAGTCTATGTGATGTGCAGGTATACGGAGTCTCAGCAAAGCTTGGGAATTACAGAATACAAGAGCCCAATAACATGTGACATATCATTGGGCTCGTGTCATTGTCAACACATTTGGAACATTTTATAGACCACTGAGTTGATTTAACTTGTTTTTGTATAATTTAAATTTCTCTGTACTTACTACTTGAACATGTTTTGCTCTGACACAGTTTTATACATTCTATAACATTTTTTAATACAAAACCAACCGTTGTACAAAGTTTGTTGCACGTTTATTCAAATATAAGCATCAGAGAAATTTTGAAAATGTTCAATATGCTTAAAAATCAAAATGAATTGACATTTACATTGTACTAACTGGTGTACTTTGGTTTCTAAGCACAGTATACCAGTACAAAAATGTAGACTACACCACTGGGGAATGTGTATTATTTGCACCAGGCTCCATTATTTTCGCTGCTCTTCTATTGTTATTGTGAATTATTTTTAAATGTCCCATGATCCTGTTTTCTGACATGGAGCTAGCTGGCTCGAGACTCAGAGACGAGCAGGGTCAGCTACAACCACCCCAGACAGGTGCTGTTGCATCTCCTCCCCTTAGCCCCGTTACAACACCCCCAACCCGGGGGATAAGGACGGGTCTGCACCCACTTGCACCTCCTCCTCCTGACGCCAGGCGGTCACCTCCACCCCCATCTCGGAGGGTGGGGACAGACCTGCACCAATATGCACCTCCTCCTACCAACCCTTATCAGCCACCCCCACCCCCACCATGGGCAGTAGGGGCAGGACTTGATCAGTCTGCACCACCAGTCACACAAGTTCGACCGGTGATACAGTCTCCTTCAATGGATGACTTGCAGAAAATCTCAAAATATGTACAACGCTTTGTTCCCGGCCCTATGGGGTCCGCAGGAACGAAAGCGTATCTCAAAGATCTGGAGTTCAGATTGAGGTCTTATCCTAATGCTACGGTAGATGATAAGATAAGTCTGATACGGCTCACTTCAGACAGAGAGGTGTTCACCTTCATCGAGCGTCTACCTGATGCAACGAGGAGGGATTACAACCTTCTGTGTGAAGCTTTGATCAGAGAGTACGACCCCTGCACGGGGCCTGCTGGTTTTCCAGCTGCAGACAAGGTCACGCAGGGCAAGACTGAACATCCAAAAGTTTATTACAAAAGAATCTTCCAAGCCTATTTTGGTAACAGAAATGAGACCGGAATGGAAGAAGATGATGGTTTTAAGTTTGTTTTCAGCAAAAATCTCCACTCTGATTTTAAAAAATCAGTACAAATGATGGCAAATTTCAGAGAAAAATCCATCAGTGAGATTAAACAGTGTGCTGTGAATGTGTTTGAAGCATGTTCTCATGCTAAGACGCCCATTGAAGTGTTTCCAAGTGTAAAGGTTAAACCCCTCCCTCTTGAACTAGAAGGACGACGTGCTTCGCCGCCTCCTCCTAAGAAGAAAGAGAGAAAACAGTCTGTTCAAGCTAACAAACCGCGT